CTTCTCTAATGCAACTCCTTCAGGATACATGGCCCCATATGGGACATAGTGCTTTCTTAAAAACAAACAAACAAACAATCCCGACCTTAGGAAAAAAAAAAGACTAATGGGATAGGGACGCCTGGGTGGCTCAGTTGGTTAAGCAGCTGCCTTCGGCTCAGGTCATGATCCCAGCGTCCTGGGATCGAGTCCCACATCGGGCTCCTTGCTTGTCACGGAGCCTGCTTCTCCCTCTGCCTCTGCCTGCCATTCTGTCTGCCTGTGCTCGCTCTCTCTCCCTCTCTCTCTGACAAATAAATAAATAAAATCTTTAAAAAAAAAAAAGACTAATGGGATAGAATTGAGTATAGAAATAAACTGATATATTTATGGTTAATTGGTTTTCAACAGGAATGCCAAGACAGTTCAATGGGGAATAGAATGGTCTTTTCAACAAATGGTGGAATACTGGAAATCCACATGCAAAAGAATGAAATTGGACCCCTACCTCACACCATTCTAAAAAATTAACTCAAAGTGGGTTAAGGACCTAAATGTCAGAGCTAAAACTATCAAACTCTTCGGGGAAAAGAGGTGTAGATCTTCATGACTTTATGTTAGACAGTGGTTTCTTAGACATAAGCCCCAAAGCATAAGTAACCAAAGAAAAAAATTGGAAAAATGAACTTTATGAAAATTAAAAACTGTCATGCTTCAAAGGACACTACCAGGAGAAAATATTTTCAAATCATATATCTGCTAAGGGATTTGTAGTCAGAATATAGAATGAACATTTAAAACTCAATATAAAGAGACAATACTATTTTAAAATGTGCAAAGTGAGTAAACATTTTTCCAAAAACTGGTATACAAATGGTCAGTAAGTACATAAAAAGGCATTCAACATTATTAGTCATTAGAAAGTACAAGTCAAAACTATAATAAGATACCCTACATATCAAAAACAGCGGTATCATTTCACATTTCCTTATAAATTGCTGGTGGGAATGTAAAATGGTACAGACATTTTGTAAAATACTTTGTCAATTCCTCAGAAAGTTAAACATAGAGTTACCATAGGCCCAAAAAATTCCACTCATAGGTATATACCCAGAATAATTGAAAACATGTCCAGACAAAAACTTGGAATGTTCACAACAGCTTTATTCATAGTACCCCCAAAACAGAAACAACCTAAATGCTCATCAACTGATAAATGCAATGTGCTATATCCGCACAATAGAAAATTAATCAGCCAGAAATAAGAATGAAGTATCGATACATTAAAACATTAAACAATATGGATGAACCTTGAAAACATTATGCTACGTAAATGAATCAGCCACGAGAGACCTAATATGATTCCATTTATATGTAATGTCCAGAATAGACAAAATATAGAGACAATAAGTTGATTAGTGTTGCCTGGACTGGGGCTTTTAGTTGGGAGCAAATGGGGAGTGACTGCTAATAGGTATGGGGTTTCTTTCTGAGGTGATGAAAATATTCTAAAATTGATTGTAAATATACTAAAACCCATTGAACTGTACACTTTATTTTTATTTTAATCAAGGTATAATTGTCATATAACAATCTGTTAGTTTCAGGTGTATAACATAGTTATTCAATATTTGTATATATTGCAAAATCATCACAATAAGTCTAATTGACATCCATCACCATATGTGGTTATAAATTTTTTTTCCTGTAATGAAAAGTTTCAAGATTTTGGGGTGCCTGGGTGGCTCAGTCATTGGGTATCTGCCTTCTTCTCAGGTCATGATCCCAGAGTCCTGGGATCAAGCCCTGTGTCGGGCTCCCTGCTCGGCAGGAGGCCTACCTCTCCTCCTACGACTACCCCCCACCACCCTGCTTATGTTTCCTCTCTCGCTGTCTCTCTCTCTTTCTCTGTCAAATAGATAAATAAAATCTTAAAAAAAAAAACCAAAACTTTCTAGATTTATTCCCTCAGCAACTTTCAAATATGCAATATAGTATTCACTATAGTCATTGTGCTGTACATTACAACCCCATGACTTATTTCATAACTGGAAGTTTGTACATTTTGACCCCTTCACCTATTCTTCGGCCATCCCCCCCCCACACATACACCTCTGTATCATTCTCTGTATCTATGGGCTTGGAGTGGTTTTGTCTTTATTGTTGTTTTAAGTCCCACTTAAAAGTGAGATCATAAGGTATTTCTCTTTCTCTGTTTGACTTATTTCACTTAGGATAATGTCCTCAGGGTCCATCCATGTTGTCACAATGGCAAGAGTTCATTCTTTTTCATGGCTGAATAATACTCCATTATGTGAATATGTGTATCTATCTATCTCTCACATTTTCTTTAACCATTCATCTACTGATGGGCACTTGTTTCCACGTCTTGGCTCTTGTAAATAATGCTGCATACATTTTTTTAAGTTAATGTTTTCATTTCTTTTCTTTTTTAAAGATTTATTTGTTTGAAAGAGAGAGCAAACACAGAGGGAGAGGGAGAAGAAGATTCCCCGCTGAGCAAGGAGCCCAACACAGGGCCCAATCCCAGGACCCCGGGATCATGACTGGAGCTGAAGGCAGATGCTTAACCGACTGAGCCACCCAGGTGTTCCAAATGTTTTCATTTTCTTTGGATAAATACCCAGAATTGGAATTGTTGGATCATATGGTAGTTCTGTTTTTAACTTTTTGAGGAACCTCCATACTGTTGTCCATAGTGGCTATACCAATTTGAATTATGCACTTTAAATTGGTGAGATATACGGTATATGAATTCTATTTTATAAAAAATAGAGAAACACATACATACACACATACATGGGTGCACAAAGAAGACACTGTTATCTATAGAAGGTCTTAAGTGGATTGAGCCATGCATTAAGTTTAAATAGGTGATGTTAGACATGAAGTAGAGGAGAGTTAATAAAGAGCCCCCACAGAGTTTAGAGCATTGTTACTGGCCCAGTTTTACAGGTGAGGAAATTGAGCTGTATAGAAATTCAAGGTCATGTAGCTAGTATAGAATGGAAGCCAGATTCCAACCCAGGAAGTTGATAGCAGAGCTGCAGCCCTTAATTGCCACATGACTCTCTCTCCTGGGGATTTGTGATTCTGTCCTAAGATAGAAGCAAGGTAGAGAATACTCATAACTGAAAATCTCCCAGTGACATGGCTCTTTCTTCCTAGGGCAACTCCTTAGTGCTCATCAGAAACACTCATCACTTGGGTGCCTATCATCTGTCTAATAGGCATTGTGAAAGTCTTGGTTTCTGCAGTTTCTAGAGCAAAATTCAGGACAAAGCAATCCCTTTGAAGATACTCAACATGCAGCTTCTCTCCTTCAGGGAAGTGATGAAGTGATGTCTGCCTGCCAATGTGAAGACTCAGCTGAGAATGATCAGATAGAAGAGGGCTTTGTGACACAGTACCTGAATGTCAGAGCAACCTCTGAAAACTCATAAAAACATGATTGTATAGAAGCTTTTTTGAATTTTCATGACTAGCCAGGACAACACTAATTTGTCAGTATAAATTTCATATAGCAGATTTCTATTTCTCACTAGACATTTCTGTGTTTTTATGTAAGCATAAGATTTGGTTTGTCAAACCCTCATTTGTATCTGATTATCAAATAAATACAAGGACAGAAATCTTTCTCTGCCTTTTGAACTATTTCTGTGAACGAGATACCCATGTGTGGGATAATGCCAAGTCAAAGGGTATGAACATTTTTAAGGTTCTCGATCCTTGTTTCCAAATTACTTTGCAAAAAGATTGAACCAATTTACACTCCCACCAGCAGTGTATGAAAATACATTTAAATGCAAATTCCAAGCTGCAGAATCTCTTTCTTAGGTATTTCACTTAAAATTTTTTAATGCTAAGCAAAAGCCGACCCAGGATGTTAAAAAAAGGAAGTCTGATATAAAAATGGAGCAGATAGTTAAAACAGTTTGGGCAGAAATAAGCTTTATAAAGGCCCAAACCGGCTGATAAAAATTTTAAGGCATCATAGCAGAACACAATTCTGAAGGGACCATTAACAATTTGGCTTAGATTAGGATAGCGACCGCCAAGAATGTCGGGCGTGGTCCATGTACCAAATTCCAGTTTAGAAAAAGCAGGGTATTTTATTTTTTTAATACTTCATTTTGTTCTAAAGACGATTTAAGATACCTAAAGGGAGGATCTTGAGAAGTAGCATTGTATCAATGCCGTGAAGATGAAATGAACCCACGCCCTCAGAACTACGGTCCGCGCTTATCTCTCCATGGAATGCCTCGCCTCTGTAATCCGAGTCCAGCTTGCAACCACAATGACCGCCTCTACGTCTAATAATGGGGCACAGTGATTTGGGAGGGGGGCTTGGGAGCGGGGCAGGCAAGGGGAAGCCCAGACTCCGCGTACCCAACCACTGAATTCTACACAAACCTCAAAGGTTCTGGGATCTCAGCCTTCAGGCAGGACCTCCTACCCACCTCCGCCAGTTATTTGGGAACCAGCCCCGTCCCCGCCTGCAAGGCTTCTTTGACTACTTCAGTGCCCCCTCCGACCCGCTTCCACGAGAAAGAGAAAGGGCTGACGCCCGAGGAGGAGCCACAAACTCGATTTCACCCCTCTCCGCTTCTCCTTCCTCACTTTTGTTCCTCCTTTCCTGCTGGCTCTCCCTTCTTCCCCTTCTTTTCTTCTTTGCCTATCCCTCCTCGCCTCCTCTCCCTGCCTCTTCCCCGGGACGGATCACCGCTTCGCCTCCGCTCCTCGAGCGCAGAGCTCCCCTCCCCTCTCCTCCCCACCGCCCAAGCTCTCGGCTCGCGGCCCCATCCCGCAGCCAATCAGCGCGCGGCCTCCCGCGGCCCCGCCCCCGCAGGCCTTTCCGGGCGGGCCCGGCGGAGCCCAGGCCGCGGGTGCGGAGGGCGGCGCCGCGGGGCGGGGGCTGATGGGGTCTGGCGGACGGGCGGCGCCGGTGCGGGGCTCGCCTGGACGCGGGTGTGCGGAGGTGTGAGGGGGCGAGGCGGGCGCTGCGGCCCGCCCGGGATGGGCCAGCCCTGGCCTGGCGGGGCCGAGCCGGAGGCGAGGGCGGCGCGCGGGCCAGGCCTGCCGGGCGGGCGGCCGGGGGGCTGAGGTAGAAGTGGGCGCGTAGGAAGGGGCCGAGCCAAGGCGGTGGGTGGAGCGGCGAGGGGGGCGGAGGCTGGGCCGCGGCGGGCGAGAGAAGCGCAGCGCCTGTCCGGGGCTCGGTGGCGGCGGCGGCGCCTGAGGAGGCAGAGGAGGCGGCGGGCCGGACGAGTGCCCGGAGGTGGCGGACGAGGCGCCGGGGGCCCCCATGGGCGGGTGTGTGGGCGCCCAGCACGACTCCTCGGGCAGCCTCAACGAGAACTCGGAGGGCACCGGAGGTAGGTGAGCGCCAGGGGGCAGCCTCGGCCCCCCATTGTTCCCGGCCAGGCCCGGCCACCTGTCCCGGCTCCTGCGGGCCCGCGGGCCGCGCGGCCGGGGCCCCCGCGCCCCTTTGTCATCCACTCCTCCACGTCACTCCCCGCGCTCCGCTTCCGGCCGCCCCGCCGACCGCGGGGTCGCCCCCTGCCCTCCCGGTCCCTGAGGAAAGTCCTTCGCACGCCTGGGATGTAGCCCTCGGCCTCTAGACCCCACCGCCTCGGCTCGGGAAACTCCCGACTAGAAACTGCCTTTCTTGGCCACCTCACTCCCTCTCCAGCCCGTTTAATTATTCAGGAACAGGATGGCGGCGCTGGGGTTGCAGAAAAGCGAATTGATGGAGGGGGGAGGTTGGGGAGGGGAGCCTAATGCATTCCCTTCGACGGGCCCCGCCACATCTCTCCGCACCCTTCCTCGTTCAGCAGAGTTGGCTGGTCTCAGCTTTCCTGAGTTTCAGATGACAGCTGCCCTGGTTGGTTCCAGTTTGGCCATTTAAACCTGCAAGTTTCTGGAGCTTGGCTGGGGAAGTCTCAAGTGGCCACACGCATTATTTTAAGGAGGGGTTGGGAAACAGTCCAGTCCGCCCGAGGAAAACGTGGCTTCTTGCTACAGCATGCGGGTGCTGGGCCAGTTTGCTGTCGGGGTGGGCTAGTCAAATTCCTATCCGCCTTACGTAAAGGAAAATATGTAGGATAAAAGCACAAATACGAGAGTCCGACTTAGCTTCGTAGGATCAGTACTTTAAAAGTTTTCTAACGCGGAACGCACTTCTGGTTTATCGTAAATGGTTTGCTGAGGCGAGCTTTTTTATTCAGGCGGCATTGTAGTATAGCGGTGTAATAAGAAAATTAATTCTACCTTTACTTAAATGATCGTTGCCTGAGTCCACTCTGTATCTTGTGTAGAGGGCAGAATGTTTTAGGGAAAGAAGAAACAGCTAGGAATAGCAAAGATGACTGCGTTGGTTTTGTTCCAACCTCCTGTTAGATGTCTCAGAATGTGGGGCGTATTTATAAGTTCCTAAACTAAGTCGTTTGGGGATGAGAGGGTCTACAACTTTTTCTTAGACTAGCTTTAGACCAGTTGCTTGCCCTCTCACTTGAGCTCCACTTATAAACTGTGTATACCTAACATTTGGCTGATGAATTTCCTGAATTAAATGATATTTTGCCATGCCACCTCATTAAAATCTGTGGGTTTCCTGTATGATTAAATCCTGGGCAGATAGTTTAAGAGTTCAGTGAAGTGTGTCTTGAAAAAAACTTGTACGTGCAAATGGTATTTAACAGTGCATTTCATGTCATAGCATTATTTGGTGGCACATTAACAGTGAGATCCTCAGTAATAACAAAGCAGGAGATAAAAAGGGTATGATTTTAAAACAGCTCTGGGGTAAGATCAGATTGGGGGGGTTCACAGTGATTCTGCCTGCAAGTGAGGTGATCACTAATGGTACTAAAATATATTAGTACGTGCTATAGGTAGTGTTTAGTTTCAATTAAATTTAATTTTTTTGCACTCAAAATTTTTAATAAACATCTTTCCCTTCTTGCTAATGAACTTGAGCCAATTTCGTTAAGACTTTTGGTAACCTGACTTATGACCAGCCAGGCATTATTAGCATGGGTCTTTAAAAGTATGAAGTCTTAGCTTCTGGTAATTTATTGCCAGTGGTGTCTAGTTAGATAGCCCTAGTATCAGTTTCCTTGAGAACTGAGTTCTCTGGACTTTAAGCTGTGCTGTACCTTTCCAAAGTAAAGTTTAGAAAAAAGAAACAGCAACTATCAAACCTCCTTATTTTCTCCTGAAGATGAAGTGTGGGCCTCATGTAACTGGGATGGAGGAAGGAGCTGTGTGGGATAAAAGGAATTTAATTGTGGAAGCCTTTATTCGTCATTATTGTCATGATAGTTAAGAGTTAATTGTGGTTTAAAGGAATTAGCTCAGGTGAGTGTTTCAGGTTAATACATTAAATAGTTTTTGCTTATATTAGTAGGTTTTTGTTGAGAAGAGAAAAACTATTTTTCCTAAGAGTGTTGGCACAGATCATTCGCTTTTCAAACATAATGGTTCATAGTTTTAATCAGGATGTTTGGGTTATGAAAAATTCTTTTATCAACATGAAGTAAAATTAAAGTCTTCTGATGCTTTTCATGACCTTTTTAATTACATTCACAATGTTATTGAATGTAATGTGGAATCTCAACATTTTAGATTGACTTGACTCTTGAGGATTAGCTAGTCTTAGTAAAAAAAAAAAAAATTACTTTTTTGAAAACCTTTTTGGTTGTTTGAGATACTGTACTTTCCCTTTCCCTCTGGATCTAAGTCTCTTATGTATGCAAGTTAATTATGGTACATGAGAAAAACTTCCTTACTTGGTGATTTACTTCTTTGAAGGAATTTGGGAAATTTTTGCAAAAGACCTTAGGATACGGAAATTGCTTAATTTACATTTTAAGATTTGTGTTACATGTTATTTTGGAATCATTTGTAGTATTTTCCTCTGGCATACTTTGCCTAGAATTGTTTGTGAGTTTTTTAAATGCCTAATTTTCATCAAGACAACTGTATTATATACATTATATGCAATTATTTAGCAGTTCACTCCAAGCTTCCATGCTCCTAGAACATTTTTTAACAGCATATTCTGTGTGGTTCTCTGCCTTATTATAGTGATACTGTGATGCTGGGGTTGGAACTGAGGGCCTTTAGACAAGGCTTTATGTTAGCCCATGGCATTGGCTAATGAATTAAATCTCATGATTTTAAAAACAAATACGTGACAGGGTACCTGAGTGGCTCAGTCATTAAGCTTCTGCCTTCAGCTCGGGTTCAGCATTCCAGGGTGCTGGGATTGGGATCTCTGCTCAGTGGGAAGCCTGCTTCTCCCTCTCCTACTCCCTCTGCTTCTGTTCCCTGTCTTGCTGTGTCTCTCTCTCTCAAATAAATAAATAAAATCTTAAATAAATAAATTAAAAAATATATATATATGTGGGGAAAACAGTAAAATGAGATTAGTTGAAGAGAGCTAACTAGCTTTTTTTTTTTTTTTATTTTGTTCACCTCTTTAATGAACACAATAATGTACAAAGTAGGTTCTTACTTTCTGGGTTTGTCATTTATTCTTAGGTTCAGTAATATCCCAAGAGGACTAACCCTTGGTGGTCATAAGTTTCCAGGTTTACAGCAGGATAACTGACTGCTGTGCATTCATTTCTTTATTTCAGAATGTCATGAGAATATCATGGAATTTTTTTGGGTATTCATTTATAGCAACCTTATAGTCTACCTACTTGATTAACGGTGGTTTTTGAGTAATATTAACTACCATTTACCCAGTATTTGTTATGTAAGAAGTGTTGTGCTAAGTGATTATTTTCTCATTTAGTCTTCAACAACTCTGGGAGTTGGATAATATCTCTATTTTATGGATGGATTGAAGCTGGGAGAAATTAAATAACTTGCTTAACATCACATAGCTTACAAATAGTCAGAAACTTGAACTCAGAGCTGTACTGAAAAATTTCTCTTTTTTTCCGGTTTCATTTTTTTTTTTTAAAGATTTTATTTATTTATTTGTCAGAGAGAGAGAGAGAGCGAGCACAGGCAGACAGAGTGGCAGGCAGAGGCAGAGGGAGAAGCAGGCTCCCCACAGAGCAAGGAGCCCGATGTGGGACTCGATCCCAGGACGCCGGGATCATGACCTGAGCCGAAGGCAGCTGCCCAACCAACTGAGCCACCCAGGCGTCCCTTCCGGTTTCATTTTTTAGCTTGTGATACAGTACATACAAAATTTGCCGTTTTAACCATTTTTAAGTGTATAATTCAGTGGCATTAAGTGTATAATTCAGTATGCAACCATCACCACTGTGTATTTCCAAAATTTTTCATCTCTCCCAGCAGAAACTCTGGATCCATTAAGCAATACTGCTGCTCTTCTCTCCCAACCCCTGTTAACTTCTAAATCTAGGTTTTGTCTCTATGAATTTATCAAGTCTAGATATTTCATATAAGTGGAATAATACAATATTTATTCTTTTGTTTGTGGTATATTTCACTTAGCATAATGTCTGGGTTCATCCCGTGGTAGTAAATATCAGTACCTCATTCTTTTTATGGCTGAATAATATTCCATTGTATGTATATACCACATTTTGTTTATCCATTCTACTATTGATGGCCATTGGCTATGAACTTCGGTGTACGAAGAGCTGTTTGAGTCCCTGTTTTTGAGTCTTTTGGTTATAATACACCTAAGAGTGGAATTGCTAGGTTATATGGTAATTCTTGCTAGGTTAAATGGTTTACCTTTTGGAGGAACTGCCAGACTTTACCACAGTAGCTGCATTGTTTTACATTCTAGCAGCAACGTTACAAGTGTTTTAGTTTCTCCATATGTTCATCCACACTAATCTCCCATTTTTTTTTTAAAGATTTTATTTATTTATTTGACAGAGAGAGATCACAAGTAGACAGAGAGGCAGGCAGAGAGAGAGAGGGAAGCAGGCTCCCTACTGAGCAGAGAGCCCGACACGGGACTCGATCCCAGGACCCTGAGATCATAACCTGAGCCAAAGGCAGCAGCTCAACCCACTGAGCCACCCAGGCACTCTAATCTCCCATTTTTAAAATTATAGCCAATGTAGTTGGTATAAAACCACACTGTGGTTTTGGTTTGCATTTCCATAATGACTAGTAATGTTGAGCATCTTTTAACGTGCTTCTTGGACATTTGTTTATCTTCTTTGGAGAAACGTCTGTTTAAGCCCTGTGGCTATTTTTTAATTGGGTTATTTTGGGTTTTTGTTATTGTTGTTGGTTGTGGGAGATCTTTATATATTCTGTACATTAAATCCATATCACAGGGATGATTTGCAAATATTTTCTCCCATTTTTGGGTTGTCTTTTTACTTTTTTCCCCCCAGCATCTGGGTGGCTCACTCAGTTAAGCATCTGACTC